TCTCTCTCTCTCTCTCTCTCTCTCTCTCTCTCTCTCTCTCTCTCGCTCTCCTTTTTTTCTTGTCGCACGAGTTATGGTGGCGGTGTAAACAATAACTATGCAGGCTTACCGTACTTGTAAAACGAGAGGACGTGGTGTGTCAGCTTCATTCCAACCTGATCTGGCCTATAACAACGTGTTAAGGCTGTCTCTGGAGGATATACCTATTGGAAATTTACGATCTGTTTCTTCATTACCTTGTTGGTAATGGCAGGTAACATTTTCCCCCCGTTTTGATGTATGTATTTTGTTTCTTAAAGTGTGTGTTTTTTGTGGTATTTCACGAGAAAAAGAATGTCGTTGTTGTTGTTGTTGTTGTTGTTGTTGCTGCCGCTGTTGCTTGTTGCTTCTGCTGTTGTCGTTGTTGTTTGTGGTTGTAGTAGTAGTAACTGTTGTTGTTTGATTGTTTGTTCTTAAATATTAAATATAATATATATGTATCGTCATTACCATCATCATCATCATCATCATCATCATCATCATCATCATCATCATCATCATCATCATCATCACCACCACCACTACCACCACCATTACGATAACCACCACCACCACCACCAACACCACCACCAGCACTACCACAACCATTACGATCATCAGTATTACCACCATAATCATCATCATCACCACTATCTCTACTACCATTTCCTTTACCATCACTATCCCCAGCACAGTAATCATTCCCTTGTAATGCATTGCCGTTTTAACTAGGCTTTTAGCACGACCCTTAAAGCTGCCAGGCTTTTAACGTTTTCCATTTCAAGTTCCCACACCTGTACTTCTCCATCGACCTTTTTTCGTGTTGAATTATAATGATTATTGCCAGTCAAGTGTGAATTTGAGCGGAATTGTGTGTGTGAAGGGGTTCTTTTTACTATCTTCTAGGCTGTCATTCACAATGGGCAATTCTTTTCATGTTTAGGAATGACTTTCCATTTTTCTTTTGTCATTATTCTGTCCTTCACCATAATTATAATACTAATACTTTTCTTTCCTTTTCTTTCCTTTTTTTTCTGAATAACCGTTGGTAGCCATGCCTGAACTTGTACGGGTGAAGGACTCGGATTTGCCGCGGTTACGGGACTGGCTGGCCTCTCATCTGCCTCATTCTTGGAAGGTGAGTCTTGTACTGTAGGTAGAGGTGGTGGTGGTCGTAATATTTCATTTGATACCTTAATTTTTTTAAAATACGCTACAATTTTCTAAAGTACATGTTTTATTATTTTTTAAATCCGTATTTATTACTTTTGCCTACTGTTCATGTTCATGACCTTGATGATGATGATGATGATGATGATGATGATGATGATGATGATGATGATGATGATGATGATGATATTTTTGTTTAAAATGTGTTTTATTGAATCGGCTCGATGTTTCGCCACGTTGGCTGTAGGCCGATTCAGTAAAACCAATTTAAACTTTAAAAAAATAAAAAAATTTTGGTCTGTAAATGAAGCAAGACTCTCCCCCCTATTCTGCTTTTTAAACAATGATGATGAT